TGGGTATTAAAGAGGGCACATTCTGCGTGGAGCACTGGGTGTTATGCACAAACAATGAATCATGGAACACTACATCAAAAACTAATGATATAATGTACGGTGATAAACATAACAATAAAAAAATTAAAAAAAAAATAAAAGGTATCATAAACTTTTCCTTCTTCCCTGCTAACTTTGGACTTTTTCTCCTATATATTTCTGTATATCACACTTTATTTTTCATTAAACAAGTATTTATTGAATGTTTACTCCATCCTGGGTTATGCTGCTTAGCAAAAAGACTATGCCAGTAAGATCAGACATACCCCCAAAGATCTAGAACATATGATATTTGAAGCATCTATGCATTACTGAGGTAACTCTTTCTTATTTTTAAACATGTAGAAAATATAGAGAAGAACAGCAATGTAACAAACAGTTGTGTATCTATCTGTGTTCATATGTCTGATCTTCCTATCAGACTGTTAGTTCTTTGTGGGCAGTGATGCTTTCATCATCTTGTACCTTGTACGCCTAATGTAGAAATTGGCACATACTGGGCACTCAATGTTTACTGAAAAGACGACTCAGCAAAAAAACATGGCACAGCTTGAAGTTTTATTTTTATTTAATTAATATCATGTCCTTTTCCCACGTTTCCTTTAAAGTCTCTAAAATAATCATGGCACTAACCTCTTCTGTTACAATGTGACATTCCCAATTAACTCCTATGGACATTCACTGTTTTATCTGACTCAAATGCACCTTTGACTACTCAGATACTTGTATTTACTTCTCTGTTTGCACTTGGTTGTCTGGCTCTACCATGTCTGTTGGTCCTTGTATCTTCTTGTTACATTGCACTGATAACCTGGGAAGCACTGCAAAAGGGAATGTGTGCTAAGTAAGGGATCTCTACAATAACATGCTTTCCTCCATCAACAAAGAGATTTAGCAAGGTGTTAAAGCAGGAGGAAGACAAGGCCATTTCAGTTAATTTTTCTAGAACTGACTTCAGGTCCTGCTAAAGGATCCTTTGTCTTAAACATTAAACTACCTTTATAGAAAAGGGAGAGAATGAAACAGGGAGGGAAGGAGGAAGTGAGGAAGACAGAAGGACACCATGTGGAAATAAAGCCAGCTACATTTCCTACTGAATGGAAAGGAATCTCCAAATTAATCTGCTGATGGTATCAGCAGGCAGGCAGGCAGGAATTTAACACTGAGGCATGAACCTAAAATGGACAAACGGCACTAATCTGCTAAGCCTCAAGAAAAACCTAGTCATTAATTTTCTGTTTTTGATGAACTGTAAATGAACAATGATAAAAATACCTACTAAGGGCGCCTGGGTGGCTCAGTTGGTTAAACGACTGCCTTCAGCTCAGGTCATGATCCTGGAGCCCCGGGATCGAGTCCCACATCAGGCTCCCTGCTCGGCGGGGAGTCTGCTTCTCCCTCTGACCCTCTTCCCTCTTGTGCTTTCTATCTCTCATTCTCTCTCTCTCTCTCTCAAATAAATAAATAAAATCTTTAAAAAAAAAATACCTACTAAAACAGTTAAAACCAAACATCTGTATTTTCTGTAACAGTTGAGCTGTGTAATAGATAAAGATCTTTAAAAGTGAAATGCCCAGGGTCTGGAAAGGTATAAACTAGCACTCTTCTTCTCAAGGGCAATTTGGCAATACATATCAAAAACCTTTAGAGTTTTAAAAAACCCTTTGGCCCAACAATTTCAGGAATTTATCTACAAAATTCTACAAAAAGAAAATTCACTGTATTACCATGTAAAATAGCAAACAACTGCAAACAATCTAAACGCCTACACATAAGGAAATTGTTAAAGGTTGATAGATCCTTATGAGGGACTATTCAAGTATAAAAATACTTATTAAGTGTAAAATGACTTATGAAGAGTATTTCTTCATAAGGATTTATCAACCTTTGACAAAGAGGAGAATAAATTGGCTGTTAAATTATTTTTTGGTTGCAGAACTCTTTTTATCCCCAAATGATATCTAGTTACAACCTAATATAAAGAGAAAAAAACAACAGCAACTGCAACAATCAAAGATGCTCTTTCGAAAGTGAGAATGGGGAACCTGGAACTCATCCTACTCCTAAGAACTTTATGGCTTCAAGGAACATTTTGAAAACCACTACTTTCAAGAACATTTACTGTGGAAAAAAAGGTCAAGATTATAAAACGACTGCATTTTTGTAAAAAGAAATTATACATATGTTTATATTCATATATTATACAATGAAGAATGGTTTAGAAAGATATACATCCAATGCAAACAGTGTTTATCTTTGAGTGGTGGGTTTATAGGTGATGTGCACTTTTTTTTGCTTCTTTGCTTTTTTTCCCTTAGATCTACGATGAGCATATAATTTCATTATAAGGAAAAACAAATTAGTTATTTTTAAAGTTAAATTTTAAAGTTGGATTCTTCTGTACAATAAGTTTTCAATATCCCTTTATTTCAGTTGGTATTTTAAAGTATTAACAATTCTTCAGGTGCTTAATTGGAGAAAGATGCCATTCATCTGACAATTGAGGTGTTATTAAAATCCAAGTAAATGGGCTCTTATTGGCAAGTTTCTCTGCATCCTCATTACAGATTTTCCTTATGCTAAATTGTGGGTACCTCCCTATGCTCTGATTTCTGGGCTTTTTCACATGCTGTTCAATTTCTGAGAAACGTTCATCTCCCCAATTGTCAAACAGTTCCATCATTCTCAGTCATCGTATCTTGGAGACACCTTCCCTGACTATGGTAAGTATTCTCAATCATTGCACTGTTTCTCTCCTAGCACTTAACACAATTTGAATTATATATTTGTTTACTTATTTATTACCTGTCTCACCAACAAAACTGAAGGCAGAGACTATGCCTATTATTTGCCAGCATATTACACAATGCCGGCATAATACCTAGCAATTGGCTACAAATATTTATTGACTGAGTGAATGACCGACCAAATGTTTGCTAATTTGAATTTGGAGACTCACGGAGACTCAAATGGTTTAAAAAAAAAAAAAACCAGAACAACAACAACAACAACAAAACAACAAAACCTTTCCCACACTCTTGCCTAAATGGGTTCGCAAGATCCTGTTTTCAATACTGTTTAAATTTCTGATAACTTCAGTAATAGCCCAGAGTCACAATAACTGGGCACATTTTATAATGGCTTTATCTACTGATCCACAACTTACAAGAAGCCCTAGGTCTGGAGAGATGCCTGCTTCAGGACTACTGATCCTTCCTCATGTATCTTTTGGAGAATAAACTGTCTATAATCCAGAATGAGTAATTGCTGCTTCAACATCTTCTAAGGCTTCTTCCAGCCCTACTATTACACTAACGAAGGCTAATGTCAATTTACTGATATATATTACATGTCATTCCATACATATACTGATGTGCAGTCATTGAATTATAATAAACCTTTTGGTCAGGAATCTGAACAGTGTGAACTACTATTTTGGGCACAATTTAAATAACGGGCTCCAACAATGGCAAACCAACAGTCTCAGAAGAGCTCTTGCAACTAAATGGAGAACTTAAAAACACCAAAACAAACAGTGTAAGAAAAATAACCATAGAAGGTACCAAATAAGCATAGAGACATAATATTTTAAATACTTCCAAATATTTGGTTTCAAAGCATAAATGGAGCATGTGGGCTTTCCACATCTTTTCCTGCCAAGTCTCAGGAAAAACTGACCATACTACAGTCATCTAAAACAGCTGTTAGGATTGATCTTCAAATATTTGGTTTCAAAATATAGACCTATTTGCACTTTAAAACTCAGATGCCTGCATACTCCCACTATAGCACTGCACTGAGATAATCCTCTCAAAGTAGGCTGCTGGCAAAAACAGATCTGTATTCATGGTGAGCATTGCTTCAAATGGACACAGCAAAATGTTAGCCTAAGTCCTCAAGTCAGCTGTCAGAAAAGATAATTTACCCTGGCACCAAAATACTTTGTTTCTTTCTTTCTCTTTTTAAAGGCAGGGGCTCAATTTCACTCATCCTTTAAGGTTAAAGAAAGCACAAATGTGAAATGTTAAGATTCTAGAAAGGAGGAAAAAAGTTTATGTCCACTTTGCTTACAACTGTTGCCTTCCTTAAACTAAGTTTCTTGTTTAGCATATTGTTCTTGTGGGTACTTAGATATAAACTATCAAATATGCCTCACTTTGGGCTGCTGTAAGGTCTAAGCCACAGAAAACGATCTTAGTCCAGAAAAAAACCTTTCCCACACTGTGGTATAATTGTATTTATTTTCTAGGACTATATACAAGCATGGATATCCAGTTGCAGTCCTATATTTCTGAGTTATCTAATACTATAACACTCTAGGGATGATAGGGGATACACACAGCATCTTTTGCTCTTCTGAGCAGACATCAATTCTGATCAATTTTAACTGGCCTGATTTATCTTATCTTTTCTTTAATATGGCAGTCATTGTAAATGCCTATAACTTTATGACCAATATTGTTTTATTTCCCTTCAAATCTTATCATTTAAACCTTGTTCCTGAAAGAAGCACTTAAAAAAAAGAGGCAGGTGATAGTACAATTGGGAAAAGGAACTACATTTGGCACCCTACAAAATAATAATCCATAGTTAACTAATTGGAATTAAAAATTTAAAAATCTATAGAAAACAAAAATAATGAAACAGTGCAACTTCATCCTATTTTTCTGGTGTTACAAAATGGAAAGCAAGCATTCCTCCCTTGCAGGCAGCTCTAGGGATGCCCCAGACCAATTAAATTATAGGTAGATAAGAATATCCTTCTCAACCTTACCTCTTTATGCACCTTCCAACTGTCTACCGTCACATTGAAGAGAGCTTTGAGGGCCTCAATGGCACAGTCTGTCTCCTGAGGTGAGAGAGGAGGTCCATTATGGTCTATGGCCGATTCATATTCATCGGTCCACTTGATGCTAAAGGCACTTTCCAAGATCTGGGTTAGCAGCGGTAGTCCCTGGAGCTCATAGCGCAATTGTGACCTGATGTCAGTGTGCAAAAGTGACAGGAGGAAGAGCAAGCGCAAGTCAAAGCACTTAATGTCATTGATAAACTTTCGGTCCTTGCACTTTCTCAGGAGGTTACAGAGCTTTGCAGCAAGGTTAAGTTCCAGGCTGAGCTGCTGTGCCATCTGACTGTTGAACACTATGTTACACAGACATTTTAATGACTCCACAATAACTGGGAACTCTGACACCTTCTCCAAAGAATCATCCGACTCATTTAGCTTGGCTAATCGCAGCAGTATCTGCATATTTTCCTTGGTTGTTACAGGAACTAAAACCTTTTTGTCTCTGGAGAGAATGCGGAGAACTTCCAGGCAGGACACTTGACATGTTGTTGGGATGTCCTTTACAAGAACTTTAAATATGCCTTCACAGAGTTTCTGAAAAACAAGAACGAGTATGCAAAAATCATTACTTGGCTTAAATGATTTAAAACAGAATACTTTTCTACCAATGTATGTAACAGCAGTCAGATTCTGGCTAGAAAAGATTTTTTTTTTTTCTTTTTTTAAGCCACAGAATATTAGAACTGAAAGAGACCTTATATTTGCTGCACTTCTTTCACTTACAGATATAGAAATTAAAGACCAGAGAGGCTGTACTGGGCCAGAGTGAATCAGTCAGGTCTTACATAGCTTTGTTCTAAACAGATTTTTAATATCAGACTACATATAATATCAGGATAAAGGCAATTAGTCTGAATCACAGCTGACAGACCCAAAGTGTACATACCTGTCTTGCATTTTTTGAAATATTATTCCTATCATTGCTAAATTTAAGAACCACTGATCATTCTTTCAGTATTCAATGTCCAGCTTTCTTGTCCATAAACTGCAGGTCTGGATCTCTCAAGCTCCTACCTTATATGTGAAGCAAGCTGGTATAAACTATTCTATTGCTGACCATTTCTGTACCTGTTACATTTTATAAAAGCAACAGCAACAACTAGGACTAACATCAGATTTTACAAAGTTTGTATTTACCTATCATCAGACCGTAACTCTTAAAAGAAGCTATCTGTGGGTCAAGCATTATGATCTTGGCAAGAATCCCAGGCTGTATGTACCTTCTCAGTACATCCTAGTTGTACAGCTATGAAGTGCCAACTTTAAATGTACAGTTGACCCTTGAACAACAGGGGTTTGAACTGCACGGGTTCACTTACACATGGATTTTTTTTGATAAATACAGTATAGTACTGTAAATGTATTTTGTCTTCCTTGTGATGTTTTTAATAACACTTTTCTCTAGCTTACTTTATTGTAAAACTATGACTACAATAATATAGAACATATAAAATACGTGTTAACTATGTTATTGGTAAGGCTTCTGGTCAACAGTAGGCTATGAGTAGTTAAGTTTTGGGGGAGTCAAAAACTGCACGCAGATTCTTTGTGCTGGGGACTAGCACCCCTAACTTCCACATTGTTTAAGGGTCAGCTATACTATGTTCTCTAGATGAAGGGGGGAAGGAAATTACCTTGACAAGCTGAAAAAATTTTATAACAATGTCAACTCTATCCCTGCCATCTCTGATAACTAGAAGGGACTTTCATTCAATGTCTTATTATCATTGTTAAAGCATTTTTAGAAAAATGAACACAAGTTTGGGGGGTGGGGTAAGTATAATGTGCCCATTATAGAAATATAAAAAAACAGGGATAAGAAAAAAAAAACAGAAGAAGAAGAAGATAGCAGGAGGAGAAGAATGAAGGGGAGTAAGTCGGAGGGGGAGACGAACCATTAGAGACCATGGACTCTGAAAAACAAACTGAGGGTTCTAGAGGGGAGGGGGTGGGGGGATGGGTTAGCCTGGTGATGGGTATTAAAGAGGGCACATTCTGCGTGGAGCACTGGCTGTTATGCACAAACAATGAATCATGGAACACTACATCAAAAACTAATGATGTAATGCATGGTGATTAACATAACAATAAAAAATTATTTTTAAAAAAAAACAGGGAAATTTTTCTCCAATGTCTGATCTTTCACATCCAAGAAAAACAAAAACAAAACCACATTCTATGTACTACTTCCCATGTAGCATATTCCTGGGGGTGGAGTCAGATAACCTTTGCTCCCACATAACTTTACTCAGGAGAGAAATCATCTACATTGCTGTTTAAGAAACAAAGAAACATTAAGAAATAAATAAGGTATTATAAAATATCATATATGTGAATTTGGAGTGCTACATATTGAATTAAAAAGACACCTTTACCCCCTTCGTTTTTAAACCAAAGAGAACAACAGCAACAATAAAACATAAAAATAATAAAATATAAAATACAGACAATATGGGTCCTTTCTTGCTCCACCTTCAGACTCAAGAAAGAAAAAGAGCAAAGCATGAATACAAATAGGAATAGGCAAGGCTATAAATCAAACGGCCTGAAACTCTCGGACATAAGAAGGCTACATGAAAGAGATTAGAGAGCCCATACAATTTATAGTTAAAAACTACCTCATCTATACTTCCAACCAAAGACAAGAGTTCTAGTTTTAAAGCACAGTTTTCAATCATAATTGTTCTTAAACATGCCATTTCTTTTTATAGATCTGCCTCACATAATGATCGTTAGGTAGCTTTTTGCTATAATTTTAACATATATTTAAAATTAAACCACTTTTTGGATAATGACTCTTTCCTCCCTTTTTTTCAATTACAACTCAAAAAAAAAAAAAAATCAAAGACATACCTAAAATACAAAAGTGATACTTAATAGACACACTCATTGCCTTACTCAATATAATCATTTTAAATCAGAGAATAGTATAAAGAGCAAATTAATAAATCATGTACATTTGGATGAATTAGAAAAATTTTGTTTTGCATATGTACACCAGGCAAGAACACTGAAGGAGCATTCTTTACACTTTCTCCATCTGCTGAGTGCATGCTCTACTTCTGTGTTTCAAAGGTACGCTTGTATTTCACCTTTATTTTTGCTCTAACAGTGTTTTTCTGTGCTGTAACTATTTTTTTTTCAATTGATTTTACTCTTCCTAAAACATGCTCGCCTCCCTTCAAACACTTTCCACAGTTCCTCCTTGCCCGCAGTACGCAGCCAAAATGAGCCCACTGCTCCCTTTTCTACTGCTATCTCTGTCACACATGGTTCCCCTTCTTTTTCGAGTGCTTCAGATGGACTCCCAGGCCTGTGACCATATGTCCTGAGCCTCTCCCCTGCTGCTCCTTTCATGGCATGCCCTGCTACCATGTCCACCTATCAGGAGCCCTCTTTTTCTCAGGTTTAGTTTGAAGACTAAGGGGTCTATATGCTTCCCCAGTCACTCCCTCTTTTGCTATTTGTGCTTCCAACAAGAACTAAGTTTTTGCTTTTGTGTAGAGTAAGTTGTTGGGGCATCTTACTCCTTTTCCAGGCTCCCTGAGAACAAAGGCTATGTTTCATCTGTATCCCTGTAGCTGGCTCAGGTGTGCTAGAACTATTTTTAAGTGCAAGATAACCACAAATTCCCAACCTTAAAACCTACCACCTGACTCTCCAGCATCTTCCAAAGAATGACTCCTTTGTGTTCTTCTTCCACCAGGCACCACTTACTATCAAGTCTTCTCTTCCTCTTTTTGCAGGTACAACAAACTGTCATTACATTATATGTTAGGTACAGACTGTTTTTATTTACTTTCAAAATATTTATACAAACTTGTTTTCATTGTTCAACTGACATATATATATATTTTTAAAGATTTTATTTATTTATTTGAGAGAGAGAGAGACAGAAATAGTGACAGAGAGCATGAGTGGGGAGGAGAGGGAGAGGCAGGCTCCCTGCCTAGCAGGGAGCCTGACGTGGGGCTCGATCCCAGAACCCTGGGATCATGACCTGAGCCGAAGGCAGATGCTAACCAACCAAGCCACCCAGGCACCCCAACTGATATGTATTTTAATCTGAAAATTATTTTGGTACCTAAAGTTATCATGGAACCCAATTTTTTCCATCAAAATTAATGGAAATATTTTCTGATTTAATAACTTTCACTTAGTGGTCTGGTTCTCTGTAATGAACTAAAGTCATAAAGCACAGTCTAGGTATGCTTACAAAGTATAATTACTAAGAATCAAAGAGTCTGAGGAAAAGCCCTTTTAAAATGCTCACTAGCTTAGCAAGCCATGGCTATTTCTATAAAGTTAGACTGCAAATCCAACAGCATAAATTCAAGAGTAAGATCCCAAATGGCTCCCGAATGTTAATACTACTACTGCCAAAAAAGGTTAGTTTGCTCCTGAACTGAAACCCATGAGTCTACAATAGCAGTGGTTCTCAAACTTCATCATGCATCATAATCCGCTAAAGGAATTGTGAAAACACATTGTTGCACTTCACCCCCAGAATTTCTGATTCAGTAGGTCTCGAGTGAGCCTCCAGAATTGGGACATTTAACAAGTTCCTAATTGCTGCTGATGATTCAGGAGCAACAGTCGAGAACCACTGAACTATGGTTAACAATGGACTGACATAACTTGGATGTTAGAGGGTAGGGGTTAACCGAGAGCAACGGACCAGATAAGCATAGAAAAGTAGGCAGAGTTGAAAGCCATTAGCACAAATACCTTAACTTCTCCTTGACTGTCCTGAAGATGTATAAGGGTGGCAGGGATAGGAATGGGGTGTCACTGTCTGGTCACATTACTTTTCTTATCTTAAATATTAAAAACTACTCCAGGGGTGAGGTATAGTACTTGTTTAAGGTCAGTGGTCCTGGGCTTGAAGTTTGTTCAACTCACCATGGACTCTAGAACCAGAGCAGTGTTATGATTAAGGGCATAGGTTCTGGATTTAAATTTTTTGTATTCAAACCTTGGCTCTTCTACCATCTTCTGACAGTGAGACTGTGGCAAACTTGGCCTCCCTGGGCCTCATTTACTCTAAGAGTTAAATGACGTCCACATGTATAGCCCTTAGAATAGTGCCTGGCATGTGGCAAGTGTTCAGTACAGGTTTTACATATTATTATAAGATAACATCTCAAAGTCCACAGTTTAGCATTTAAGATCTTCCAACCTGCTTTTTCAGGTTTCTCTTTCATACCATGCCCCTATCAAACCCTCCTCTGTAGCTATATCCCTTTCCAAATTATCTCACACTGAGCTCTTTTGCTTTCTTACTGCCTCCCCTCTACCTGCATCAGTTCCTCTTCCTCTTTGACTATTCAAGTTTTAACCATTCTCCAAAGCTAACCTTAAAATTCACTTTTGATATACATTTTTTATAACAGCTTCAGCCCCCAACATTATTTCTCTCCAAGGAATACCCAAACCACAATTTGTAGCAATCATTTGGTGCTCAGCACATTCTTCCTGTTACTACTAAAAGCTCTCTAATGACAGAAAGTTCTTTTTTTTTTTTTTTTTAAGAC